CCTCCAACCTGCATTTCTGCTTGCACCTAAAAAAATTAAAAATGCCTTTGTAAGATTTCAAGAGCTGTATCAAACTTTACAACAGGTGAACCACAATCTCCAAGATCCTTTCCAATTAAATTTCAACCATTTTGTAGACATGCTATTTTTTTTTTTACAAAATCTAAGCAACATTATCTACCCCCTAGATCAAACCATGTTCCCTTCAGCTTGTGTCTATGTCTGCTAATATTCTTTAAGTACTGCTTGTCCCCTTAGAAATGGAAAAGCAGATGTTTAAAACTCTACTTTCCCTTGCTCTTCTAACCTGAAGTCCTTTGTAAGAGATACCCTTGCAAAAATTCATGTGACTCAAAAAAGGAAAAGATAAATTTTTTTAAAAAGCTTTATTTATTTTTATTGGAAAACCAGATATTCAGAGAGGAAAGACAGAGAGGAAGATCTTCCGTCTGATGGTTCACTCCCCAAGTTACTGCAATGGCTGGAGCTGAGCCAATCTGAAGCCAGGAGCCAGGAGCTCTTCCAGGTCTCCCACCGGGTGCAAGGTCCCAAGGCTTTGAGCCATCCTCGACTGCTTTCCCAGGCCACAAGCAGGGAGCTGAATAGGAAGCAGGGCCGCCGGGATTAGAACCGGTGACCATATGGGATCCTGGCACGTGCAAAGTCAGGACTTTAACCAATATCCTATCGCACTGGGCCCAGAAAAGATAAAATTTAATGTGATTCTGCACTGAGTACTTATCATCTTCTATAAGAAAAACCAGCTGATGTATAAGATCAACTTGGTGTTTCAGAGTCTCAGTTATTTATGGCACAAGATATAAAGTTTACATCATGAATTCTAATCTGTAATGAACAGTACTTGATTTTAAAGATTTTATTTATTTGTTTATTTTTGGAAAGTCAAATTTATAGAGAGAAGGTGAGATACAGTTCTTTCATCTGCTGGCTCACTCCCCAAGTAGCCACAACAGCCGGAGCTAGATGATCCAAAGCCAGGAACCAGGGACCTCATCTGGGTCTCCTACAAAGGTGCAGGATCCCAAGGCTTTGAGTCGTCCTCTACTGCTTTCATAGGCCATAAGCAGGGAGCTGGATGGGAAATGGAGCAGCTGGCACACAATCTGGCACCCGTATGGGATCTTGGTGCATGCAAGGCAAGGACTTAGCCACTGGGCTATCATGCCAGTCACAGTATCTTATTTTATAGAAACAAAATTACAGGAGTAAACCTGACTTCACAGAAAAAGAAGAAGATCCAAACACAGGGGTACATGTACATGTATTACACCCAGACATTTTACTTTAAGACACTTGGTAGGGAAATGCAAATTATAACAACATATATGACAAAGGAAAAGCGTACCTGTGTTAGGCCTCAAGCCAATTTTCTTTCTGTGAGTCTAGAAAAATGGGAGGTGTGATAAGTTGACCCACTGGCTTTTTTTTTAATTAAGCACAAATTTCAAGCATTTTTTTTTTGGAACCTCCTTCTTACCAGTAATGAAATACTGACCCTCCCATTCCTGCACATCTCCTGTTTCGAGAGATTCAAGATCTTGAAGGGCCAGCGACGTGTTATGTCAAGTCTGAACGTCCTCAGTGGAAGAACTAGTGTCAAAATGCTCACTTCCATGACAGCTGACAAGGAGCTGTCCACTCACCAAGCAGAAGGCCTGCAGCACGACCAGTCACTGTGTGTGATGACCACAGTCAAAATGAAGTCAAAGTGATGACTGCAGCAAGCTAGTCACAGATGTAATCTTACTGGTCCCTGCAGGCTCTAAACCCTTTCATTGAGGAGACATAAATCCTAACGCTCACTTCGGCCTCGCTTTCAGGCTACCAGAGTCCATATCTGAAAATAGATCTTTTTGCGCAAAGCACTTTCCACTCAACCTCGGGCCATGAATCCAGAATACAACTGGCTCTCTTTGCACTTGAAGCTTCTACTTTTTCCTCGGAGTGCAACTCTGAACCCCAGTCAATAAGATGAGAAACAAAAAGTACAGGATGGGTACACGTCCTTTGTCCTCAGTCTCTTATCCTGGAGCTAGCCGTTACATTCTGTCAAAGCTACTGATTCTGTCCAGCCTTGCTAACACCTGTCGTGAACACGGAGCACGAGTTTTCCCACTATTAAACAACAGCACACATGGGTGGCAGAGGAGAGTGGAAGCTACATGAAATAATAATCAAGGAAACAGGTACTTGAAAGCGAACAGGGACACAAGGTAACATGGATCCAAACATGCAGGGCTAATTCCCAAGAAACACCAGTACAGGCGCTCACTGCTCTCTTCCCTTCTCTGGACAGTGAAGTCCCAGTGTGCCACACTCTTAGTGTCTAAACAAAACAGCCAAAGACATGCATGAAAGCAGAGCTACTTCGCCTGCTTCATTATGACTAAGTGGGGCATCACTTCCAACTCCAGCACGAGATTGGCTGGGAAGGTCTCTGTCACTATCAATACCTGAATACAAAGAACACTTGCTGGTTACACACAACGCCAGCGCAGGTGGTAAAAATCTGCAAACACGTAGGCCCATTTTAAGTGCACTGACTTGTAGAAATCAAGTTCCCCTTTTGGTCTTCACAATACAGTTGTCTTTTAAAATTGACTGGATGGGAGCCTGCACTGTGACAGAGTGGGTTAAGCAGTCACCTGCATTGCTGCTTAGCAGCACCACAACCCTGGCTGCTCCACTTCCAATCTGGTTCCCTGCTAATGCTCCTAGGGAAACAGAGAAAGATGGTGGCAGGGGGTGGGAGACCAGATGAAGGCCCTGGTTCCTTGCTTTGGTCTGGCTACTGAGGCCACCTGCAGTGAGAGAGCGGATAGGACGTTCCCATCTCACCTTCTAACTCTACCTGACAACTACCTTAGAACAAACAAACCAAAAGAACTCTTGACACCCTTTACAAAACATATTGCACATATTTATCAGAACATTAACTCTTTAGCAACAACAAAATTTAAAGTCTGGGTTGCAGGGGAGAAAAAATCTAACTATGCAACATTCAAATTTCCTCATTTAAGTGAAGCCTCACAAATTTCACTTATTTAAGTAAAGCCTCACAAAACAAATGAACTTAAAAAATAAAAGAAAATCTGTGAAAATGAAAAAAATAGCCACATCTCCTAGGAGCTCAGTACATGGTCACCCCCTCATGAAATGTTTGTGACAGTTCTCAGAGGACTGGTGAACTCGCTCCACACCCAACCTCCTCCAGAATCCGCCTCCTGCCTCAGAGCTGCTGACCACATTTAGTTTCCAAACTTCAGTGAATTTCAATCACCTGAAAAGTCTGAAGGCAAACTCCTTAACCTCATCTGCCATCATTTCTACTAATGCACCATTCAGGCAAGGCCAGGCTGGGCAGTCAGAACCGTCACTGTCTTACCCTCACAGTGGGCAAGGACAAACTTGGCATCAGAACAGATCTCTACCTAAGTCATCAACCACTCCATTCTCTTAAATCACAACCCACCAACTAACGCTTACCGGGCAAGATGAGCCATGAGTGAATCAACCCCTGAGTTAACAGTGCCAACTGTCAACCAACCACCAAAAACACACTCGTCTGAAAATAGTCCAGCTACCATTAAAGTCTAGAGGAAGATTAGGAACAAAGCAAGGGTTGCAATCCAGAGAAGCATGTGTGTGACTGTGAGAAGAACCACACTTGACACCAGATGACTATGCTGTCACAACGCGCAGCCATGAGCCACATGCGGCCATTTACATGAAAGTTTTCAATTCGGCTCCTCGGCTGTAGTAGGCACACTTCAGCCGCTCAGTGGCCACATGTAGCTGGCGGCTAACACGGCAGACAGGACAGAGGGAACACTCAACATCACTCAGATTCTATGGGAGAGCGGATCCAGAAGCAGTACCTAGTTTCAATATATAAAAATCTGGGTCCTCTTGAGTTGGTAGGCCCTGCCATTTCCCATGTGACACACACACATCCACTTTAGGTATTCACTGGCAAAGAAGAACCCCCGCAGAGTGCTTCTACATGCTTCCAAAGTGAACAGCTTATTTACCTCCGAGGATCAAACTAGACATACTCAACTAACAAGGTATGAGAGGATGAAAGGCACTAAAATCACCTGCTAGTTTGTCATCAAACTATAACTGGTGAAAAGCGCCTAATTATTAGACAACAAGAGACACGAAGTACAATTAAGACTAGTCCAAGGAAAGCTTCAGCTACTTAATAGGACTGGTTTTGCAAGTATTTTGGAAGTATGTTTATATGTGTAACAACGAACTGCCGTCATGACTGACCCTGCTGCCATTAATTCACATTAGTAGTTTTTTACTGCTTCTATTTTTAATTGCTTCCCACCAACCTCACATTACACACCCATTGATAGCATACTGACGATAACATTCACCTCAATATAATTTTTGTAAATGGGTTACTTATTCAAAATCTGGAGTTAATCCTTACTTGAGCAGAAAAGTAGACAAAACTAAGGAAGTTGCAACTGATACTTGCATGGAGAGGTTGCACCGGTATCCAGTTTAAAGCAACCGGGCATCAACACACACACACACACACAAGTGTTGGTGACCAGATGTGACGACTGGAGAACTAACTTCCCATTGAAAGTTGGCCTCGCTGCACAGGAAGTGCAAGCTTCCCCAGACTCACGACCATATACCCACTGCATTTAAGCCCGCCTTCCTTCAAGCGGACAAACATCAAACCCTCAGACAATATCTCTGGGTTGTAAGTCTGACTCTAATCAGATCACTGTGTTCCACAGAAGAATCATCTTTTAGAAACTAGCCAATGAAAACCCTCAGAGCCAATGCCCACATGCCACAGAGTTACACTTGTGGGGGTGATGTGCCCACCGCAACCGTCGTTGCCTATCAAAGATCTACTGCAGAGGTCTCTGTCAAACTCAGGAGTCAGCAAGGCACAGCAACGAACATGGCCCAACACCATGGAGAAGGCCGAGCGCGAGCAGGGGTGGACTTACCTGCAACGCTAGTGATCGTGACCGGAACTCCCTGCACTTGAACGCCTGCAGCCCCCAGGTTGGCCACACTCACTGTCTGAAGGTTAGGCACTGATGCCAGCTGGGCAGTGTTCAGTGTGATGGGGGCCCCGGCCACTGCCACGGGCGCTATCTGGGCCAGCGTCGTGCCGCCGCTTGAAGACACTGGGGTGATGGTTAGCTGCTGGGATAACCCGGCGTTCTGCACTTGCAGATTTGAGAGACTCTGAAGATTCTGGACCTGGACAGTTTGCCAACTGATCTGCCCTGAAGGGGTCAGAGTGGGAGCCCTGATAAGCACCTGAGTGGGGTTCACTGCCTGCAGCTGCACATTCTGCAGCGGCTGCTGCTGGATGGCCTGGAGCGTCTGACCCGACTGCAGCTGGAAGGACTGTGGCGGGATGGCCTGGAGGAGCTGCTGCTGGGGCTGCTGGATCTGGATCTGCTGTAGGATGGGCTGGCCGACGAGCTGCACCTGCTGCAGGGAACCAGCCTGGTCCTGCGCGTTCTGTACCCCGTTGGGCTGCAGCTGGCTGGAGCTCTGGGCTTCCGACTCGGCAGCGGCTGGCTGAGACTCCTCCACGGTGCGCTCGGAGCTGCTGGCTGACGTGCTTGCATACTGGCCCGTGTCGGCCGAGCTCACTAATGTGTCGCTGCTCGTCAGGGATGTGGAAGCGGTGGTTGTGCAGGTGGTGGAGGAGGACGGAGACTCTGGCATGGTACTGGCAGAAGCCGAGGTGGTGGTGGTAGTGGTGGTCGGGGTGGGGGTGGAGGCTAACTGATTCCCATTCGAGGTGCCGCTATCAGCAGTAGTGGTGGCTGGCTGGCCAACCTGGCCGGGGGCCCCTCCTCCTCCGGCGGTCACGTTATTGATCACTGGCAAGGCTAAAGTCACTCCTCCGATGTTAATGGGCAGGGTCGTTACCACTTGGGCCTGCGTCCCGGGCAGGGTCTGTAACTGCAGTGGTATCGACACACCAGGTCGAATCTGGACCGGAACGGTCTGATTGGCCAGGTTCTGAGCAAGGATATTCCCGGAAGCTGTCCTATTGGCAGCCGTGAGGATCGCCTGGTTATTACCTGCAGAAATGAGCTGAATTTGACCCTGCAAGTCCTGTAGAGATGAACTACTGGCCGGATTGATCTGAATCTGCTGCCCTTCCACCGTCTGCAGCTGGGGGATCACCTGGTACTGGACACTGCCCCCTGGATTCTGCACTTGGATGACCTGGAACTGCCCAGGGGTGGCAGAGCTCCCTGATTTCGTTTTGGTAGGAGAGGCACTCCCGTTATTACTGCTGGAAGAACTAGAGGAGCTAGAGGCTGGTTGAGAAACGTTATTCTCCTTCGAGGCGGGGGGAGTGGAGGCAACCAGCTGCCAGGCGTTGCCGGCGAGCTGCGTGGTGACGAGTTCGAGCTGCGGCGGCGGGTTCTGCAGTTGCACCAGTCCCTGGCTTGGATCTATGATGATCTGCTGCTGTCCGGGGGCTTGGTTTTCACCAGGAGTCCCTATCTTGCTGCAAGTAGCGGCCAGCAGTGCCAGAGGAGAGGGCTGAGAGTCCTAGCGAGACAGGACAGCAGAGGAGGAGAGGAGGGGGAGAGGAGGCGAGAGGGGGCGGGTTTAGTCAGACCAGCAGCAGTGGGGAGGGGCTGTTGCTTTATTTATGTGTGCTGACAGTTGTAACTTCTCAGCACTTAGAAACCAAAAGGACCAGGGGAACACGAGCTCGGGAAGGCGCGCTCTCTACTTAGGAACAAGGAAGCACAGCCTGGGCGGTCATGAACTTGAAATACAAGGGGATTTCTAAGAAACTTTCTTCAAAGTGTTCATCTCCTAGGGACTCCAAACGCCCTTGAGGACAGACACGCGGGGGCTCCTGATGGAACTTGGGGGTGACGCTCACCCCTCCAATAGGTGAGCCTGCTCACTCACTCACTCTCCTTCCGAGTGAGTTCCTCGCTCTCGGGGAGGTGTCTGCTGTGGGTGCATGTTCTTAAGCCTTTACTTGTGGGCGTTTCAGGGGCCACAGCTCCTTCTCTCTCCTAACGTTTCAGATGCATCTGGGGGCCAGGGCTGTTGTTTCGGATTTGTTTTTTGGTTTTTGTCCCTAACATATGCGTTTGCTTTTTTACCTGGGAGCCTGAGGTTTTGGGTTTTTTATTGTTATTCTCTGCCTCGGAGGCTTTCCCTCCTTCTGTAGCCATCGCCGCCGCCGCCTCCTCCTCCTCCTCCTTCTTCTGATCTGTAACAACCCACCCACCCAGCCCCAAACGCACAACAGGTTATTAGGATTATTATTATTCCTCTGCCCCCCCTCCTTCTCCGCCTCCCCGCGGACATTAATCTCCATAAACCCGCGCGATCCACGCACAGCGGCCCGGTGGTGGGGGGCGGGGGGCGCGAGAGAGGGAAGGGAGGAGGGGGCATCCCAAAACGTGGTTGGAAATCCGACCCAGCGGCACCCGGTGCAAGCCCCAGAAGGAGGCTGCTCCGCTCAGACACGAAGACAAAACGCGAGCCTGCCTGCCTGCCTGCCTGCCTGCCTCCCTCCCTCACCCCTCCCTCCCGCCCTCCCCCGTCCCCTCCCTCCCTCTTGCTCCTCCGCCCCTTCTAGCATCTCGCGGCCCCGGGGGAGGGGGGGGGGAAAGCACCGAGCAGGGTCTGGGGCGGGCGGGCGGGAGGCGGCGAAGGAGAGACCGAGGGGGGTGGAGAATACGTACCGCTCATCCCGCATTAACAGGACAAACCCTCAGTCAGACGGAGACACTGGGAGAGCGAGGTGGGTGGGGGGTGGGGACGAGGCGGGAGGAGAGGCCGGTCCCGCCCGCCTGCCCGCCCGCCCGCCCGCCCGCGGTGGCTCGGAGGAGGCTGTAGCTGGCACAGGCTCTGCCTCTTTTTCCGCGAATGGCCGCCGCTGGGCTGTGGCGTAGCAGCTCCTCTCTCCGCCCGAGCCCGGCGGACTCGCCCTTGATTGACAGCGGCGGCGCGCGGCGCGGGCGGCGGCGCGGGGCCGGAGGCGGGGCCGGGGCGGCGCGAGCGCGGCCTTCTCCCCACCCCCGCCGGCCTCCCCGCGCTCCGCCGGAGCCGCCGACTCTCCACCCCTTCCCCCAGCGGATTGGACGCCGACCTGCCGGGGGCCGGGGCGCCGGGGCCGCCGGGGCCGCCTCCTCTCTCCGCCCCCTTTCTCGCCGCGCGGATGCTCCGGCCTCGGGCCGCTCCGGCCTCCTTCCCTCACGGCTTTCGTGTGGGTCGGGCGCGCGGCCGCTAGGCAACCCGCCCTCCCCTCGCCTCAGCTCCATGCAGCCAAACTTGTCGGCTCAGGATATCCCGCCCCCTACTCATTTCCCAGCTCCCTCCACTCAAAAGCAGATATTATAAAGAACACCGGCTCCGCCATCGAGCCCTCAGAGCACCGGGCCGGGAGGCGGGGGCAGCCAGGCGCCCGGCCCGCAGAGCGCGCTAAACCCCCCGCGCGGGGAGCGTGGCTTTTTCCTGAGGCGCATCCGGACCCGGGCGCCCTTTTTCCCTGGCTCGGCGCCCATTGGCTGAGGTCCTGGTGACGCGCGCTGAGTGGTGGCCGTCGGAGGGGCGGGGCGCCGCCGCAAAGCATGTCGGCTCTTGTAGTTCCCGTCGGCGACGGCGGGCCCCACCTCGGGCCTGCAAGGCGCCGCCTCTCTCCCGCCCCCGGCCGAGGCCTGGCTGCTGAGCGCGGGGCTGCCCGAGGGGGCGGCGGCGGCGGCGGCGATGGCAGGGCGTGGCCGCGGCCGAGTGGGAGTTGAATTGCGCCGAGCGGGGAGGAGTGGGGAGAAGAGGGTGTTGTTCGCCTGGGCCTATCCGCCGCGCGGGGGGCTGCCCCAAACCACCTCTGCCACCGCCTCCTCGGCTGCAAGCCGCTCCCCGCGGGGCCGAGCTCACACCCGGAGCGCTCGGCGATTGAGCGGGCGGGCGGCGTGGAGAGGCGGGGTTTTGCCGGCCTCGGGGTTTTGAATGAACCCGGCTTCTCGCCGCGGCGCCTTCGCCTCGCCTTGCTGGTGGCTCACACCCGGCGCTCTCGGGCCTTGCCGCCGCCGCCGGCCTGAGGCCTGTGGTCCCTCGGAGGAGGACCTTCCTGCTCTCCCCGCGGCCTCTGACCGGCGGGTAGGTTGGGGAGGAGGCTTCGTCTGAGTGCCTTGCCGGCGGCCTTCTCCCTCGTTCGGTCAGCCGCACTGGCGACAGGCCCAGCCCAGCCCAGGTGGAGTTCAGCGTCCGCTGTTTCCTGGGCAGGTGTGCAGCCCACATCTGGCTGTACAAAGGTGCATTGTCCGATGCGCCTGGGAATCCTGTCCTGGCCGCCCCACTCCTCCCCCTAAGTCCCCTCCAAAGTCCCCTTAAGAGCCAAGACAACGCCCTGTAATACAAGCAAGCACCTGGTCACGTGTGCCCAGGGTGGAAGCGATTCCCTCTGGTGTAAATATTGGCCTTGGGGACCAAACACCTGCAAAGGCCACAGGCCCGTTGGGCTTCCACGCACCACAGCCCTGAGCATTTGTGTTTTGTCTGTTACCTGCGCCCTGACTTATCGCAAAGGATGGAGCAGGTCTCTGTTCTTGACCAGCATTGCGTTTGCTTGTTAAAAGTCTGGGCAGCACCTGCCGCGGTGCAGCCCAAGTGGTCCGAATCGAAAGGTCAGTGGCACTGCCTTGCCCCATGCCATAAAATGAGCCTGGGACCATTAGCCTGCACTCCATTCCTCCCCACTCCTTGCATTGGGAGCCTGCCACCTGTCCTCCGGCCTCCACCTCCCACTCACCGTGATGAATGGAGATTAGACAGTTCACAGTCTGGTGGGATGCCGTTTTCTTCGTTTCAGCAGACCTGCTTCAGAGAAGCAGTGAACCACAGGATCCAAACACTGCTTGTCCTTTCCGCATGAACCTGCAAGTATCTTAGATAGCGTGTGCTTTGTTCCTAAGTGGTTTTGCTGCTAAGAATGAAACATAGTTGCCAGCCCTGTGTAGTTTTTTTTTCCTCCTGTAGTGGCTGAAAAGCTTCATCTGTTACAAACAGTAGGTGTGCCTCCCATACTCCAAATCTTACATGGAAACTTTTTCCCCATCATTCTAGAAGAAAAAGATATTAGGAAGCAGGACTTTGGGGGATAATTAGAGTTAGGTGACAAGATTTGGAGTTCTCATCATAGGGATTAGTGTCCTGGGAGGAGGCTGCAATTGGTGGCCCTTCCTGGGAGGGCACAACCTAGCAGGCTGCAGCCCCCCACCACCACCGCAGGAGGGTTCTCCCCAGCACTGGAGCATGCTAGCATCCTGAGCTCAGGCAGAAGTCCCTTCTGTTGCCTGGAGCCCACCCAGTGGAGGAGATTTTGTTTCAGCAGTCTGAGGCTAGTTTGAGATGCTGGCTGAGCCGGGAGACCTGCAGCAAGTGACAAGTTAATTGCTCATTGGGCGCCACTGTCTTGTTCCTTGTGTAACAGAAGGCTTGGTGCTGTCGTGCCCATATCGCCTTGCTCATTTCAGTCCTGTCCTACCAATGCTAGGGTGTACTTGATACTTTCGAATAAACCAGTGTGATGTTTCTGCGTAACAATCTATGAGGTTTATGTCATGACTCTAAGTTGGAAAGCCCAGTTTTGCTACAGAGGTGATTCTTGATGGAGACTGTTCTTTGGACAAACTTGATCCAGACTCCTCTGTGTGCCATTCCTGCCAGGTCCCAACCTGGGGCTCTGTCAAGTGGCTTTCCTCGCTTAGTCTTGCTTTAGCCAAAGTCCTCTGGATCACTTTGCCGAAAATCCTCCCACCTTTCATGTCTCTCGTCTTCCTCGAAATTGAATCAAGTTCCTTATCCCCTACTCTTCAAGTCTGATCAGCCTGGTCTGTCCTCAGCAATGATCACTTTATTTTTATTTTGGCTTGTTTTAAAGGCAGAGAGAACACTTCCATCTGCTGGTTCCTATCCCAAATGCCCCCCCACAGTGAGCGCTAGGGCAGGCCAAAACCTGGAGGCTTGGGTTCCAGCCAGATCTCGCATATGGGCGACAGGGACCCGAGGACTTGAGCCAGCACCTGTTGCCTCCCAGGCATTCTGGATGCTAGAAGGCAGAGCAGAGTCTGGGTTAGATCCCAAGATGGGACATGGGTACAACAGATGGCATCCAGATGCTGTGCCAAATGCCCACCCCTCAGCAACAGTCTTGTCAGATCACCTTAGCCATTACCCCTTCCCCGGGCTTCCTCCTCTTGGTCATTTCCTTACCGTTTTACTCACAGCCAAATTCAATCTCTCCCACTGCAAGACCCTGCTGTAATAGCTGCTATCTCTGTCTTCATGTCATAAGTGTAAATTCTTCTTCGTCTTCCTTAACAAATATCAAGAATAACTTTCTTCTTTAACAGTAGAAGTGTATATTCTCAAAATGTTCCCAAGCTCGGGCCTGCCAAGCGGTCTTTTCCCCCCAAGGAGGTAGTGACACTATGAAGTCTCTTTCCTATGCTTATATAAAACCCATACAGCTGTGGCTTTCAAACTTTCCTTTTATTATGACTCATAGGAATAAATGTATTTTATTTCAGGACCCATATGCACCTGCACAGACACACGCAGGGTATTGGCATTCTTGCTTTAAATATCTAATAACACAATGCTCAAACTACCCTCCGACCATTCACTCTCCTTCTAGTTGCAGGTTAGAGAACTAGATGGGAAGAGAACCTTGGGCAGCGAAGAACTGAGGCACCAGTTCTTCGTTCAGGGGTAACAACTTATATGGTCATACCAACGAATACCACTGAATATCAGCCTATTATGTTCACAGGAAATCAATCTGCCTACGTGTGTATACTGCTCTCTACTTCCTCCTCAAGTCTCCACCTTGCCTTCAAAAAAGAAGTCTAATAGCACCTGGGGAGTTTGGAAAAAGAAAAAAACCCACAAGTGCCAATGGGGCTGTCCCTACCTACCCTGCTTTTAGGAACAAATGTGCGTATCTCTATTTGTGCTGCAGAGCGACTGTAGAATCCAGGCAGGTCTCCCGCGGATTATTCCACACACCCACATCAACTCTCCAACTACATTTGGAAAAGCAGTGTTAGAATTTTCAGAGCTTTCTGATATAAAATCTCTTGGTCTCTCTTCTTCTCCCCACACAGTCTGTCTCCCTACCTCTCAAATTAACTAATAAAAAATTTAAACAAAAAAAATTTTTTTTCAAAACAGTGGGGTACAAGGTTTGGCCTAGTAGTGAAGACTGATTAGAACATCCACATCCCGAATGGAGAGCCTGGGTTGGACACTTGGCTCTAGCTCTGACCACGGTTCCCTGGGGGGCCACAGCGGTGGCTCAGGGTGTTGGGTTCCTGGCATGCACATGGAGGAGTGGATTGCCTTCCTGGCTCCCAGCATGGATCCTGGCCAGGGGAACCAGCAGCTGGGAACTCTCTGGCTCTCTGCCTCACAAATACAAATGTAAAGCTTAAAAAGAAATACAGTAGCCTCTGTACTTTCCACTTTCTAGAACCTACCACCTCTCAGGAGTTCTCAGGGGATCATTCACTCCATCCTGGAGTAAGCTCTGGGCCCCTGCAGGCATAGACAGGATGTCCAGTCCCCTCCAGAACTGGAGACATCAGGTGAACATGATGGAATTACCTCCTGCAGCTGCTGAATTTGATCCTGTGGAGAATAACTGAGACCTACGTTTCACATGAATTTAATAAAAAGAATTGCTTTTTAAATAAAAAGGAGTGAGGAGCAAACCAATTTTGAGTGTCTCCTTCAGGAAGCTTGTTGTTGAAATGATCACTAAGCTGCTTCGTGTTTGTCTTCAACAAGCAGATGGCCAAGGGGCTAGAGAGACCACACGCTAGACGGAGGTTCTGGCTGAGCCTTCATCTTTGCCCTGAAGTCACGTACCGG